CATTGTCTCAAAACATATCTTTCATTCACATCTATCTACATCTCCAAAACTCTGAATGCTCTGTTCCACCTCATGATGTCATAAAGCAGTAGTTTTCAAGTTAACAGCTACATTTTACCTTTTGCTCAGTAGAGATTGGCAATTCCAGGGCAGAAACGGTCGAAATGATTTGAGTGGCGGTGTATATGTGTTTAAAAACATAGTGGAGCACTTGCTGTATTACAACATGACATCACAAGGTGGAGCAGACTGTTTTCAGGTTGAGAGAAGAACTCAGTGTAAATATGCAGGGTTTGTGTGAATGAAACAAAACACAACTCCAGGTAGTTTTTTGATGAGAAAATAACATCATAGCATGGCTCAGAAAGTAGTGTAATATAGGCCCTTTAACTTGTCTATACTTTGCAGGAAAAAGCGGTCTTCATTTTGTGCATATGCTTTTTGGTCTGAAACGTCAAGAACATTCTGACCATTTGAAATCATTAGGCACGAGTCATACAGTTGTCATACAGTTGTCATACAGTTGTCAATTTAATCCAAATGCTGATCATGGGCCACAATCAAAGAAATAATTCAGTCAGATACATTTGAAAAATAATTGTAAATGAAATTCACAATTTGGTAAATATTATAACAGAAACCAGAAAACTAACCAGTAATTATTTTCTAAAATCCAGAGTCATGTTTAGTGTGTAACTGCGTCAGTAGAGTTCAGTTTAAGTGGAAGAGCATGATTGATCAAAAACAAAACAAAACATTGAATTCATGCAAACTTCTACATGCTACACTTGTCTGTGCCAGAATTATTCCAAGTTATGCAAAGTGTCATTTTGTCATGTTTATGTTGCTGTTCCTGTTTGGTGTGATCCCCGGGCAATAATCAATGTTGTTTTGATATAAATCAACAATGTTTCCCACAGTTCTCATGTGGTTATTCTTTCCAAGTGCCAAACCCCTTGAGCATTAAGATCTAGATAATGTAATGTTGATAATAAGAAAGAATACATAGCTCGTGTTACACATATCCCACTGTCCATTGCTCTGTGGTTCTGTGCAACACGCAGAGGCTGACCCTGTTCCCCTCTTTTCAAGTTTGTTGTACATTTCCATTTAGCTTATATCTGCATTGTTTCAGTGAAGAATGTCAAGGCAGTAGAATCTCAAGGTGTCATATTTGTAGAAGTAGTTAATGCAAAACCAACTTTCACTGTCACCATCATGTACAACTAAACTGCCACATTGCTGAAATGTGTCCGTTGTCATCTGATTCCAAAGGGGAGGAAGAGTCACACAGGTTGCATAGTTTTGGAAAAGAAAAGTAATACCAACTGAGATTTTTCTGACATGGTTTGTGCTTAATTTTTTTCTAAGGCCACAAATAGGGATGTCATTATGTAAAATTTTAATCACAGTTTCACTATTATTTACAATTACTGACACACTACAAAACAAGTGAAATCCTTAATTTTCTTTCATTCTACCCTCTCCTCTACAAGGCGGCCAGTGTTATAAAATTACAAATGCAAAAGTGAAGTTATTATGATATACACAGCCACATACAAAAAATTATATATTTAGGCATATGTTTTTGAAGTAGAGCCACTTAGAATGACAATTAGACAATTAGAATGATTTTTGTTCCTTTATATTGTGTGATTATATTGTGACCGCAACAATCACAATCAATTAACCTAATAATCTTCCCCAATCATCCCTAGCCACAGGAGACATATAAAATTCAGTTCATTCTATTAGATATATAGTGTATCAAATGGACAGGGTAAACCTCATTGTCTAACACAATTTAAAGCATGTCTTTTCAATACTAGTATGACCAGACAGACAACATAAACACAGTGACATCATCAGTCTGGACCAAATGTCACCGTGTCAACAAGGTCAGTTCATTCTGATACCGTTGCTCAGGTTCAATGTTCCCCATACTCCGCCACACAGACAGGAAGAATGGACTTTGAACGCATCACCCCAGCTTCCTACACACATGTGAGTGCAAGTGTAAGTCTTAATGATTTGTTGTAAGAATTTTGTAATATTTTCATAATAAACCTAATTTGGTCTTTCTCACGCCACTTCTGGATGCCCCTAGCTTGCAATGGAACAAACAGCTTTCAAAATTCTGGCATCAAGAGACATTAACTTCTTAAACTGTCCATTCTTTTGATTGAAATGTCTACGCATTCATGTTCAGATTTATACATTTTTTTAAAAAGACAAATGTAGAAGCAAAAAACATAGTAGTAGTGGGGAGTCCTCCTTGCCAAACATGGTGGTAAAACTAATCAAACTATTGCTAAATGCTACATACCACAGAAATATTACAACTGAACAAAATTTAAGTGTGTCTCTCATCTGAGCAGTTTTCTATTTAGTATAATGTACAATGTGTAAGGCAAAAGTCTGTTTTAAATCAGTTATCACACTTTTGAATTGAATCCTATGACTACATGTGCAATCTCTTCAGTGCACGTGACTGGTTGCTGCCCACACTAAGAGATTTGTAAATATAAAATCTATTCACTGCCTGTACAAATATTTATTTACTAGTGCACAAGGGTGTAGATGGATACATGTTAGTACAGGAAGAAGTATGAGATTGGTCTTGCCCTTTGGTAATTAGCCCTTCAGGCTGGAAGGCTATGGCAGTTATAGAGTCTATTCACTGCCAGATTCAATAGAAACAAACTTAACACATAATAACACATAATAACACATAATTATATATTTGAATGCATCACAACAAGTGTGTGAGTAGATCTTGTGTTGACAACAAAAATAGCTCATGAGCATTTGTTTTACGTTGTGTGATCGTGACCACCTGTTACTTGGAGATAGCATGATAACACAACGTAATACTTCAATGAAAGAGAGTACTTTCAGTCTACAGCTGAATCATTTTGTAAAAATAACTAATTATGTCTCTTCTGATAAGCATTGTGATTAGATTAGCAATTTATGTATTAGTACAATTCTCTTAAGTTCACATTTAAGTTTCAAGTGCATTTACATTTGCGAGAAGTGCTCAACTTATACAAGAATTACATTCATTTCAGAACTTGTTTGTAGAAGCGTAAATTAGAGTTAGACAGGATTTTCTTGTTGTAAACATTCAAAGAGCAATTTCGTTTTGATTGGAATCTCTTGCTGCCCTAATTCAGTCACCAAAGAAGAACTTACTATTACCTTTTCCTGACCTAGAAAGTGGTAAACAAAACATTTAGGGAATTACAGATTGCCTTCTGGTTTTAATCCCTAGTTTGTCCATGTTCAGTATATTTGCTATGCCAGTTGTAAGCAATGCATGCATTAAAATACCTGTGTCTTATTTATGTTTGCAGAAGGCTATTTATCCCCTCCCCTTTAGATTTTCCATGCCACCTGAAGCTGTGTGTGTCCTAAATCTGAGATGACGCAGACAAACCCGGACCTTGTGAACACCCTCTGCATTCAAGGCATTGCAGCGCTCCCTCCACCTTTCACACCAGCCCTGTTTGGAAACAAATACGAGCTGTGACCCTTTGGATTCTATGGACAAAAACACAGCAGCACAATTCCATATTTTATAGTCGAATGACCATCAGCTAGTCAACAAACAACTCAAGGTGATTCAGGGTAGCAAAGTGCCCACACAGTCATGTGAAACACTAAAGACAACATAGGCAAATGCCAGACAACTTTTAAAGCTTTTCCATTGCCACTGTGTTCCGTCTGTTTTTAGTAAGGATGGAAAGCACTATGCGACTAGTATATATCTGCAGGATACTGTTACTGTGTTTTGAAATGAAAACAACAACAAAACCAACAACAAAAAACAATACAGACATAAATAATACTTTTCTATGACAAATGTTTTCAGATGGAGAGTGTGGCACCTGCTCATCTCCATGGTGATGTTACTGCTTTGCCAGCAACATTCCAGATGATGCCATCAGGCCAAGTTATAGGCCATAGCACACTGTTCACCTTCTCCCCCAAATATTTTCATATTGCATTTGAGACAGGCAAAATATTTTTTTGTTCGTTTTTTGGTCAGTTTGGTTTCTTAGCATATAAGCTTTTACATGAAAACAACTAAATTGTCTGCTCTGCACTGAAAGATGTCTAAAAATTTTATTTAATCTAGTTGTATCCATATTATAATAATTATATGAGGCAGTTTTCACCCATAAAAGTAGCACGTACATAAACCAAACCTCCAAATCTTGAACTTAACAAGATTTTGACAAAATGTACAGAAGGACTTTTTGTCCATGCTTGATTTGTTACAGTTTTAACTCCAAAAAAGAGATGAAATTAGAATTTTTAGGGAAATTTTAGGGAAAGATTTTTTTAACATTTTTATATATTCTCTTACAGAACAATGCTACTACAATTACAAGAGTACTACAATTATTAGCTTTTACAACTACAACAGATGCAACTACTACGGTTACTAATATTGCTAAGTAAAACATCTCTCCTTCCTCCATGCAAGTTTATTCTTCACCAACTGTGTAAGTATCCCAGGAATTTTCACCACTTTCTCTCTTTTAAATACACCAAGTATTCAAGACAAGACTAAAAGCCACATCCAGGCCATTGTATCTGCAAATTAAAGAGCTCATTCATTCTGTACTCTAGGTCTGCCAAGCACTTCATAACATGTGTTCTGTCCTTACAGGGGCCCAAGTAGGACAGGTAAAGTGATCCTTGAGAAATCTTGTTTGCGGATTGTTTGGGATTTAGGCTGAGTATCCAGGGAATCTCGTGATAGAACAAAATAGAAAAAGATTGGATTTCTCTCAGAACAGAGGTCTTCTATTTGAATAAGCTTGGACACTGGACAGTGGGATGGTTTATCTAGCTCTTGATAAGCTTTTGGTTTAGATTTCTTGTTATGTCATCAGTGGTCCATCTGAGGGAAATCTGCATTTCCATGTGTTAATTCTCACAGCAATCTTAAAATGTTTCCCCATAGAAGGAATGGATGTGGGATAGTTTACCTCTGGTATGTCTTCAAGTGTTGGCCCTGTGACATTCCTAGGACTTATTTTCCATTGTCCAAGAAGTATCCCCAACCTGGCTGGAGTACATAGTGGAAGGCTATCTTCCACCATGTAATCTTGACACCTGTAAATTAGTAAAGGACCCATATTACTCTATTTTCTGATCTGTCGTTTACTCTTACTTAGAGTTCTGTTTGGTTTCATTCACACATGTTTAAAACACAAGCTCTACAAATTTAGGCTGATTTTTTCACTCAAACAGAAAACACTTGTTCCATCTTGTGATGTCATGTAATACAGAAAGTGTTCCGATGTGTTCTTAAACTTCAACATACACCCTCACTAGAATCATTTCAGGAACTGAAAAACTGTCAAAGGAGCCGTTAAGTTGCAAACAACCACTTCATGACATCACAAGATGGAATAGAGCATTGTGAGCTTTGGAGATGTAGAAAGAGCAAAAATAAAGGGTTACTCAAACATGTGAAGGAAACCAATCACAGCTCCTGGTAGGTTTTTGAGGAGATAACAACATACTAACATGACATGGCTCACAAAAGTACATACAAAAGGCCAATATAACCATACCAATATATCAAAGAATTGCCATAAAACTGAGTGAACTGTCAAAATAATATTTATTTTTGTATAATTTGTTTATAATTTCTTGTAGTTCTGTCGTCACGTACTGTTTACTAACACACCTTCACTAGGGCCATGACTCCTTATCTAATCTAGAGCGTATTGACACACATCGATTTGTTCAAACTATTCAAAACTCACAGCTCACAGGGTTGGAACACAGTAAGAGTGCACAGTTGGCAAAGGGGTCATAGTTTGGAATGAAATGAAAAGTTGAAGATAGTGACAGGCCGCCTTAAATTGTTCTATCAGTATTGATGTGATTTGGCAGAACAGTCTGAACTTGACAGCTAGTTAATAATCAACTTATTTTTCTTGTGAAGTAGAATAATCCTATCATAAGTATTTTATCTGGGCAGTTAAAGATGCACTATGAAACTTTTTTGGTTAGTGGTCCATCAGCCTGCCTCCATGATATTATTCTTTTGTCTGAATTGTTTCTCAATAAGGAAGTCAACTTGTCTATCTCACTGGAGCCAAACAGGCATTAACACTTCACCATGTTACATCTTATATTTTGGAGAGGCAATCCCAATCACAGCAAGAATACAAGTTTTCAACATATTTTTGAGCAAAAAATCCCTGTGATTGAATAAATACAGAATAGATGTGTTTAATGCCATATAGTGGATCATTTCAGACAAGTTTAGACAATTGGAGTTGGATGTCTCCAGTAACATTATTGACCAATTAGAGCAGGGGTTCTCAAAATTTAAGGGCCCTAACCCCCAAAATAACCATGCAACTGACAAGGACTACCACTGCAAAATAACCTTCTTTAATAATTGCTAAAATTTTGAAATCAGATTTAATTGTGTATATTTTGTTGTGTTATTTGACACTTTGTTAAAAATAGATCGATTGCAGTGACATTAATCATTTAAAAATTATATCTTCCAATTCATCTTGCAACCCCAAGCTCAGTGCCTCGTGATAGGAACTACTGGTTTAGAGGGAACTCCACATGTGTACACAACCCAGGGCGGTGTGTATGCTTAACTAAATACAGAATATATAGGCTACATTCTAAACTTGCCTCTATCATAAAAAAACTGTAGAACACATCAGAGAGCTCACAGATGCAGGCAAACCATGTAAGAAAACCTGTTTAATTTACAAACCATGATGGATATTCTGTTTGCTGCAATCAACCAAAGAAGTTAAATACTGTAAATAAAAATAGAATTAGGTTGCCTCACTTTGAAGGTCGATCAACAAGAGACAAGACAGCAGGAGGTCCTGGTCATTTTGATCTGTGAATACATTTGAAGAAAAATACTATATATGCAGCAAATCATTTTGGGACCATACTGAACATGTAAATCTACTTTCTGTCTGTTTGTAAATGTAATATAAATTAAATGCAAATTTTTATATAGCGCCTCTTGCAATGATTGTTGTCCCACAGGTAAGTTAATGTGAGATGAAAAAATGCCATAGACCTATATTATATTAATATTAAAGTAAATGATGTAAAAGACTCAGAGATTACATAAAACTATGACTATGTGCTGTCAAACCAGTGGGCTACTTGTTCGATATAGGATACATAGAAAAACATATCCTCCTGGGACTCGAAGAAAAACAGTGTATTGCAACATATATTTTTTTATGATTTTTCTGTGTATTTGGAGGTAAATGAACATTTTAGCATTTACATTTTGTTAATTTTATTTTTATTTATTATTTTAAGACGTGCTCTGTAATGGACGCTGGGGACATTTTGGTGTTAAATCCATGTGACGTTAGATTAACAATAACAACTTTTTTGATGACCAACATTTCTGACAAGCTTCTACAGTCACCTCAGGTTTTTAGACTCGCTTTTAATTTCTTTCTCTTTTTTACAGTGCAGCCACCAACTAATTCCTGTTGATTTTTTTTTTTATTTTATTTTTTTTATCCTGGTACCCTATAATGTCCCAGCCCTGTTTAGGCAGAGGAACATAGACTCCCCATTAAGAGTCTATCTCAAAACACATAAAAGATTGACTGGTTAACTCAATGTCCACTATAAAGGACAAAATGAATGGGCCGGGTCTCAGGAGGATACAGCGTAGGCCCTATTAAAACACAAGTTTTAAGATGTTGACCTATGCAGTTATGTGATTTCTTTTCAGATTTGAATTAGCCTACACTACACAAATCTAAGATAGCTACGCTGCTGTTGTGTGCCCTAAACAAAAAGGTAAACATTTTCTACTTTATCAGTATAGACTGGGTTTCTCGGCGGTATATTTTCATTGGATGCCTTTTATCTTACCATAGCAGCAGTGCTCATGTGATGGTGACGGTGTGGCGCTGCCCCGTGGCCCTGGAGGGCGGGGTTTGTATGGTCTGAATGCACGTTGGAAAAAGGGGCGGGCATCTCTAAAATTACTATAACCCTTTTTGCCTCCGCATCGTTTCAGTTTTCACACAGATAGGAGACTACCGCGATTCACTTAGGACGTTTTCATCAAAGCAATAGTTTATCTAACTCGTATTTGTTTAAATTGATTTTTGTATCAAGTTCAAGCCTCAGACGTGATATGGCCAAAGGAGAAGGAGGCGAACAATACTCCAACGCCAGTTTGTTGAATAAACCCAGTTCAGATGGCATTCAGTTGGCAAGGAAGGTAAGTACGTTTTATTAATTTAAAATGTTATTGATCAGACGTGATCTGCTTTAAACGTGAGGGGAAATGGGTCAGTTTCGTTTATATATACCTGTATGTAGCCGCTGAATGAATGAAGCACGACGCCGGTAAAGTGACATTTGTGAGAAGTGAGTCATGAGGATGAACGCGCCTTCTTCAGGACTGGCTTTATTGGGAAAGGCTCGATGAATGGACATTTAATCCGCAGTAGTCGTAGTACACTTTACATATATACAATACGTAGCCATCATTTCGATTTTCACATAGAATATAATCTTTTTATTTAAATCAGTTGCTCCACACCATCTCCTCTCCCATGTCGCGAGTAGATTTGCAGATCTTATCAGGTAAACCTGTAATAAAATTGGACACGTTGGCTAAGTCTGTTGCCGCCGCCAAGTCACAATGGACAAATTTTAAAATGAACTGTCGCAAAATGGGTGGGCGTCTCTCATGTGGCATCTGTGACTTCCTTTCAGGCGCGTCACATCAAGTAAGCGTTTAAAAATCACTCACTGCTCTCTATTAAAGAAAGTGTTCAGAAATTACTTGTATTTGGTTTGGTAGGGAAGATGGATTTTTTTTCCTATTAAAATGCGTAGACACCCATATTTCCGGCGAACGCGAATGCAGCAATCAGCTACACCCACCGGGAAGGCGACGTGTCCCAGCTTGGAGGAAAAGCCGGTGGATGCGGGATGAGACATTCCAGCTAAAGAGTGTACGTCTGTGACTTCAACCCACGTCAGCATCTTATTCATCTTTTACGGTTGTTATAATAGAGTCAACATAACAAACGCGTGCTCTTGAGTGAGACTAGAAAAGGCAATGTGTATCGGATGCGCTTTATCAGTGCACAGCATATCAGCACTGGTAGCCCTGATAGAGCAGCCTCTGTCTCACACATGTGCGACAGTGCAAGTGTTTCATATTTGCACGGGCACACAGCTGGGTTTATGCCTAAACACACACATATGAAATGCATACGTAAATAGAACCTGTGTGAAGCCTGGGACATTCTCACACATACCTATATGTTCCTATGGCTTGCGCAAGGAGACGCCGGTGCAGTCAGTCTGTAGTATTAGACTCCCTATAGAGAAAGTCACAGTATGTTCTCTCAATCTCTGTGTGAAGTGAAAAAATCAATTTAACTTTTAATAGTTTTTCAAGATGGATCTGATCCTAATCTTAACCATAGATACTGCTTGCCTAACCTTAATATAAGCTCTAACAGTAACCTATTAATACCATATCTTAATTTCATCTAGACCTAATAATAAAGTATTTATGTAATGGGGAGCTGATTTTGATCACCACAAGGGAGGCAGGTCTCCATGATGTGAGTGTATACAGATTTTTGTTGGCACAATGCGATAAATACCCCTGTAATCTTAAACTGTAAACTGTTGCCAGTCAGTGTCAAGTTTATTTAGGAACATCACCTTCACACAGCGTACCATGGAGATGTAAGCCTTTAATCTAAATCACCAGGTAGCACATGCATCATTATGGAACTATTGTATGGGCCAGTCATTTGAATAATTCTTGTTCTGTTTGTTGGTACTGGTGTCTTATTTCAACCACAGAGCTGTTTTGTCACCTAAACAAAGAGTAGGTTGGGTCCGTCAAAAAGACAGAGACTGGTTTATGCTCTGTTATACACCCTCTGTAATGGTATGCATATGTACAGGGTGTATCAGGAGAAAATGTGGAAACTGCCTTAAGTTATGGCAGAAATACTTTTCAGAAATACTGGGTTAGCTAGTTTACAATTACACTCTTCTGGTGTTGCAATCTAAAGCAAATTAGGCTGCTGTTTAATACAAAAAATTGATTGATCGGGAACAAGGGTGGTTTATTTAGTGCTGGTCAGAAAGGCAGCTATCCAACAGCAGTGGAGTCAGCCAAAGACCATGGTTGCCCTGGCCTTTCAGTGAGTATGACACCATGGTGCTGCCATGCCCAGGCTCAAGTCAAAAGGCATTTGTGTTGGAGGTGTGTAGTGCCGAGCAGGAAGGGATATTATGACACTGAAGAGATAAGCAAGAGGGTTTGTCTAAACTTTCCCAATGGCTCTTATGGCATTGTGACTTTTTGCATGAAATGTGTATCATATGTGCCACTTTCTTTAGGCCACTAAAATGGACTTTATCTTTAATCTAGCTGCTGACTTGAAAAGCGTGATGTGGAAGATTAGGTGGGGAGAAATGGAGAAAGTTATTTTAAATGTGTTTAAATTTATCTCAAGGTGGCTTTAGACACCCAGTTAAAAAAGTGCTGTTGACTATGCAGAAATAAGCCTCATCTAATTACAAGCCTCAGTCATGCAAAAAACCTTCAGAGGCTTGCAGCCACCTCAGCAGAAAAAGTTATAACTGTTGAATATTGTGTATATTATGTGTGTATTTGGATGTCCAAAGTAATGCTGTCTATTATTTCTCTTCAGCGTGACAGGAATAGACTATCCATCTGCAACAAGTTGTGCTATGCAGTTGGAGGTGCGCCCTACCAGATCACAGGATGTGCCCTGGGCTTCTTTCTGCAGATCTATCTCCTGGACGTGGCTCAGGTGAATGGGCTGATATTATCCTCCATAATCATTTGTCACACATTCATTCACTGTTACTCACAGCCTAATTATAGGGTGCCCTACCCCAAACATGGGCAGCAGCAGGAACTTGTTGTACATCACCTTTGCTCTTTTGCTGTACTCCCTTGTGGCCCTGCATTGTGAGTGTTGGAGACCACCAGCATACTACCCCAAAAAGGGGTAAAAAAAAAAGAAGTGGAAAATTAGCTACTATACTGGGCTGCTTCTTAGTAGGAGGACTCACTTTAATTGGATTTGACTTTAAGCCCATGGTCATGACCATGAAAAGTTTGTAAGCCATGTGCTTCCGAGGGTTCAGCTTTGTCCAGTTTCTTTGATTCCTGATTAAGTCGCTATAAAGTGACACAGCATGGTGCAGATTGTACAGTCAGATGAATTCATCAGGCTTGGCGTCCATTCAGGCGTGCCTCCTTCACACAATACGAAGAAATCAGGGCAGGAGTGGCCAAGTGCCTTTTCAGACTGAAATGGCCATTCTGTCAGTGGATTAAATCTAATTACTGTAAACAATAGTGTAATGTTTTTATTCACCTTTGTTTCTATGAGTGGCATTTTTGTGTTTAATAGATCTGGCTTCTAACATTCTGTATTTTCTTTTTATAAAGTTGGACCCCTTCTATGCATCTATCATTCTATTTGTGGGAAGAGCTTGGGATGCAATAACTGACCCCACAGTGGGATTTCTGGTCTCTAGAAGCCCATGGACTCGTTTTGGACGCATGCTGCCATGGTAAGTCATTTGACATTTAATAAAACATTCATTGTCCGTGTAAAACTAAAAGGAAGACCTTTTCCTACGCCTTGCTTTATCAGTAATGAAATTCCTGTGATTGTAATTGTCACTGTCACATTTTCTTATGCATTGCTCAGCTGTGGTGACTCATCACGAGGATAGGGGTATTAAGTGCCAAACAGGGGACATGTGTCAGTGTTTGGGGCGGAGCCTTGTGCTGACATCACTGGGGGTGTATTCAGGGTCAGTCTGATGCAATTGGTGCCATAACTCCATTGACCATTTAGCTTCTGCACACAAAAGTCTGTGTTCGATTATTTCCCTGTAACAAAACAACTCTTTTCCCTCTGTACTGAATACAAACAAAGTATTAAAGCCAGGAGTGTCATCACATTTCACACAACATGGCCTTTGGCAGGGCACTGATAAATATAACTTGTGCCTGTGAACTGGCATGCAGACTTGGCAACTGGCCCGGCTCCTTTCAGATCTTTATGTTCTTTAACTGAATTGTCACGTTTTTATTATTAATCCGTTACATAATCGCTACATAATTAATACATTGAAGTTTTTGCTGCATTGCCTTCCTTACTGGCACTGCTTTTGAGGCAATCGAAAAGGCTTTGGAGGTCTCTGATCTGGTAGGGCACAACAGTGAATGACCCCTTTTCTAAATGACATTCTCTCCATGCTTTTCTTAACTCAAAAATGTATACATCATCATTAGTTCATGTTTTATTAATTTTAGTCCTTTGATTGTGGCTATGACAAATAATGTTGACATATCTACACTGAGTATGATATAAGTGTGCGGCAAGGTGTCCCTTTTGATTTGCCAATCTCTTGTCAACATTAGAGCAACACTTAAACAAAGTAATACATATTCACAAGAATTGTTTGCGTGTGAAAAACATCTCTGTTCCGGTTGACTTGAGAGTAAGTCAAAGCTGCAGGTGACTGTTGTAGCCTCAGGTGAATGTCCTTGACTCAGAATGCATTTTGTAATTGGCACCACAGGGAGCCTCACAGGTTGGTGAATGCTATTCCTTATTTAAATCCTTAATTTAAAATAAAAATCCCTAAAGAAAAGCTTGCATCCAGTGGGGAACAATAAGCCCCTGTAGAGTTCTCCATCTCTTAATATACCCTCAGGTGCAGATGGATTTTTTATTATTAAATTAGAAAAAATGAACATTTTAAGGAACATTTTGTTGCAATGATATTTTGAGTTGAATTAAATGCATAACAGAGGGTTTTTCCATCCATCACTGTGGTGTTCCAATAGTGACAGGTGTGGTCCATGCGTGAAAATGTGCATGACAAAAGTCTAAGTAAGCGTTTGGCAGAAGGGCGCGGTTTGTAGTTTTCTCCAGTCCTTTAATTTAATCCAGTGATGCTGCAGAGTTAAGATTTGACAAATGTTGGTCACAAGCTTGGTTCAAATCTGCATGTATCCAGGCGTGATGGAGATTGGAGCATATTATTATGTTTCCGGGACAATAGTGGAAGAAAGGAATGCCAGGCATGTTTGGTCACATTCACGCCGAGACATAAAGATTTGAAGGCGAGTGTGTTGCATGAGCCGGAGAAGGCGCTCCATCTTAAACGTGTGAGTGGAGGGAATGGGGGAGGGCCCAATGAGTTCTGATTGGTCCAGCCCACAACACACCACTGGAGCGAGCCAATAGAATGCTAGTTCTCAGCTATGAACACTCAGATGGGCGTTGAGGAATCTAAAGGGGTTACTCAAGTTCAAGTTTTGAGGAGCAGCAGAATGACTATCACTGTTGCTGCAGCCTGTGACCAGAAGAGTCATAAGAAACTGGGACGATCCCAAACTTGTATTATATTGCTTATGAGGATTCTTGTTGGGAATGAAAAAGCTTTCTAATTTGACATGGATGTTTGCAGCAAGAATATTTAACACTCACTTTAAAACAATTGGCCATTAAAAATATGCTTGCTGTATTTCAAATCCTAAATTATTATCCTATTATTATCCTTAGTCATCCTTTCTCATTAAATTAGTAAAAAGATGCATATAGTAGAGTCTTATGTAGAGATTGACCGATATGGGTTTTTGCATGGCTGATGCTGATACCAGTTTGTTAGAATCCAGAGCAATCGTCAACCAATGATATTTGGCCAGTATGTTGGGCCAGTTTTAATCATTTTCCCATTATTATCTATTATCTAATTTAAATTTAATATCAGTAAAAGTCATACAGACCCTTGGTTTACTATAAACTGGATAAGAGAGCTGTGAAGACAAATGTAGTAAAGATTCAAGATGGATTGCTGATAGACTAAAAAGTACACATTGGTCCAATGTATCAGTCTATCTCTACTCTTATGTATGTCCCATATCTTGTGTATCTATGTTTTTTTCAACATCAAGAAAATTTGCATATTGCCATTTGCCACTAACCCAATATTACAGTTGTCTATAGAGATCTATACAACTCTGACAGGCCTGCTGAACCTGTTTGGATATGAGCTCCACTTACTTGTCAGCAGTTTTATTTTAAACTTTTTAAATTTGATTCCTCTGGGTCATCAGGACATTATAGCCCACTGTCACTGCTGAAGGAGCTGACCTACTGTACCAAGACTGAGGGTAGTTTTTATCAGTCACTACTCCACAGTAGTTCACTTGAATTTTATAAAAGTCCATCTAGATAAATCAAAAGCATTTTTCATAAAATTGAGCCTGAAGTGATGTTTATTACTCTATACTTATTTGTATACATGCATACATGATGCATACCCCATAATGTGTGTTTGACCTGTTTTTTCTCTAAGCGAGTCTATAATCTAGAACACAGGATATCATAGCATGAGCTGTATCCTGCCTTCCCCCCAGCCATTATTGCTTTAAAGAATCTGATTGGCCAAAGGAAATCTGACCATCGGAGGAAATAGACAGAGAATGAGGAAGTGACCACATGCTTCCACCAGTGGCTTTTTTAGAAAGGATTCCCATCACAGAATGACATCATACAGTACAAATCACCAGATGCAATCTGGTAATATGCGTGGGAGGGAAATTACATACAAGAAAAATGTGTGTTGAGATGATTCGTGATTTGTGATTTATACAGGATTTGTATTCAAATGAAAAATATTTATAAGTGCATGTAATGGGTTTATGCTGCATTCTTTCACCTTTTAAAAGAAAAACTGGCCTTACAAAAGATATTTAAAAGATATATGTTAAAATGTAGGTTTAAGTTACATAATATATTTCTTTGATTTACAATGTTACCAGTCAATTCCTAAATGGCACATTTTTACTTTATATTTTGTGTATCAGAAGTAAGATTCACATTTAAAGCTGCTAAAATTAGAAAACCCAGGAAAGCTGTGGTATTACCCTGTTTGTGCATGTGCACACTCAGAACACTGTGCTCCAGTTGCTACACGTTTAAACTTGGCATCAACAAACAAATGAGGTCCAGAAAATTGGCTGGGTATAAATGAGAGCCAGTCACATTAACTGGTGTGTGGTGCACCTTACGTAATGACCAGTGCCTCTCTTCATAACAACTGTTTACAAGTTCACTCACTAGTGCACTCACGTTGTCCATCCACTCATGTTTGGGTTTGTTCTTTCTGTCCTCCTACAGGATCCTGTTTTCTACCCCTCTGGCTGTACTTGCCTACTTCCTCATCTGGTACGTGCCCCCCTTTGAGAACGGCAAAGTCATCTGGTACCTCTTCTTCTACTGCCTCTTCCAGACCCTCCAAACAGTGAGTGTGACAAAAGCACATGTGCATTCTACTATCAGAGTATTAGGCACAACTTTGTTTAATGAAAGGGATTCTTAATTGCACATTGCAATGTTTTAAATTGAAACATGACATAAAATACTATTTTTAAATGGCTTTCTGTTCTATTTGTAGTGTTTCCATGTGCCATATTCTGCCCTCACAATGTTCATCAGCTCAGAACAAAAAGAAAGGGACTCCGCGACTGCATACAGTGAGTATTGTACAATGTTTTCAAATGGACTTGATTAATAGTCTGTTCAGTTTGGGTCTAATCTCTAATTACATTCTCAGATTTGGATTAGACACAGTGCTGTGTAAATATTGTTGATACTATGAAAAGATAAAGATGTGAAAAAGTGTCATTGTTTATGATTTTTTTTTCCCATTAATTCCATTTATATTCCAAAGTGGCTATCACAAATTACCAGTTTGTCATATGGCACAATTTGACAAGCTGATCTCTTGTCCTTATTCAGGGATGACCGTGGAGGTCTTGGGCACTGTGCTTGGTACCGCAATCCAGGGTCAGATAGTGGGAATGGCCAATGCACCGTGCCTCCCGGGACCTAATGGCAACAATAGCAACAGCTCTCTCACAGAATCCTCACCAGAACCTGGCATCTCTATTGAGCACACTGTATGAATGCACACACAAAGAATCAGTCTTAAAATGTTTTGTCAATAAAATTCTAATTGTGATTGTGTTTATCTTTTGTAGAGAATGGCATATATGATTTCCTCTGGAGTCATCTGCTTAATCTACATCCTCTGTGCTGTGGTTCTCTTCTTTGGTGTAAGAGAGCAGAAAGGTAAGAAAGTATTGAAAACTTTTTAACCTTTTAACAACTCTGTAGTTGTTGAGCTGCAGATGAATAGCTTACACTGACATGTTAGCCTTCATCCAAAAGTTCTGCTCAGTCTTGGCTTGTGTTGTGTGGCATGACTGTAGCCTGTCTCAGACAACGGAGGCTACTGTTAAGCCTCCTTGGAAGTCTTGTGACTAGCCCCTGTAATGGGCAAGATGACAGAGTTCAAGCTCAAACAGTTGAACCAAGAACCAAAACAAATTACTATAACCATGTTCTATTTGCTTTCAGAATCATGTCGGCCAAAGTCGGAGCCAATGTCGTTTTTTCAAGGAATCAGGCTAGTGATGGGCCATGGACCCTATGCCAAACTGGTCATGGTTTTCCTCTTCACCTCACTGGGCTTCATGGTAAGTAATACAAATATCCAGACATAGCCTGCATTTATACATTAACACTGACCACCATTGTGAAATCCTTTCCCATTCTCAAAATAATGCCTCTCAGTAATAAATAAATAATAATGTGGTACCTTCTTACAATACACATCTGTTAATATGAGATGTGTTATATTTGGGGTCTTGCAGTTTATAAATGTACAATTACTTTTCTTTCTCTCTCTCTCTCTCTGTACATATAAAGAATACTTTAATCTTTTATGTGAAGTGGCCATGCTTTCCCATTAACCTTGATTGTCTGTTGGGCTTTTTAAACTTATGTGTGGCCTTTCCTTGGTATGTGCCATGTGTGCCAAAAATGTGTCTTTGCTACTGTAAAATGAGATTGATTCCTGATGCTTTCATTTACAGCTCCTGGAAGGAAACTTTGCCCTTTTCTGCAGCTACACTTTGGGTTTCAGAAACGACTTCCAGAATATCCTGCTAGTCATTATGGTAAGCACACAATTCCCAACATACTGTAACTAGCTCCCCTGAATTTACTAAAAGATCCACGTTTCCATAGTAGTTGGCTTTTGAAACTATTACTGACTTGTTTATGGGAACTAATTTAGGCACTGAGACAAAGGAGCTTGCACATAAATTCACTGTAGCTTGAAGGCTGCACAGTTCTCCTTTGGAATACATTGTTTCTCCACTGCCCTTTGGAAAGATATGTGCCCATTCTTGCTGGTCAGTTTGAATGCCACCCCATTCCCACTAACAACAGCAGAGATGGTGCAACTTGGCCACAGTTTGGTCTACCTTTATTTCACTAGCTGTAGCCTGTACATCAAAGTAAGGACCACACTACTGTAACAGGTGAAGCATAACCACTGAAGCAGGCTATGAGTAAAAACTTTTTTATCCCAAGTCAAAAAGATTACATGCTTTGATCTTTTGCATCATGGAATGGATCAAATCTCCAAGTCAACTACATTTAAAGTATTCTTTGAAAATGTCTAATTTTTGACACTAAGCCTTTATAGAAGTGGGATGATGTCAGGCAGTAAATGATCCTTATCCTTACCTTTGCTTAATTTAGAGGGACAAAGATCGAGTTTTTCAAAAAGACACTTTGCTAACAAGCCAGGCTTTCACTGCGCATTATATAATCTCTTTAGATGTATCTTGCACCGAGTGGAAGGTCAAATAACATGAAACATTGTCCCAGAGCAGCAAGGAGTTCATTAAGCAGAACAGAGAGGATCTTTGTATAGCTTTTTACTCATGTAGGGACTGTATGATCTATTATTATGGTTTTGGTTTCTGGGTTATATGATAAAACATTACTTTTTTATCTTCATATTAATCATCATAATGGTATTTAGTTTAGTTTAGTTTTTTATATTTAAAATATTAATAATAATAATAATAATAATAATAATAATAATGATAATGATAATGATAATGATAATGATAATGATAATAATGGACATTTCTTCCTCCAAATTCTGAACTCTGCTCCAAATCCCATGTTTTTACTGAGAGACAATTGGCCATAGACCTCTCCATTAAGATCCAAACTGATCATCAAGTATTAGAGATGACAGTGGAAGATTTTCACATCAAGTGTCAGAGCAGATGGGAAAAATACTGGTACTTACAAATATTTGTATATACTTTAGCGTGTTCAAACAAGGAGAGGTCAGGGGCCAGGCTTACTCACTGATATGAATGAGCCCTCTCCGTTGAGCCACAGGAACCCGCTGGACTTTTCAATAACATGACTAAGATCAAGTTTGTTTTGGGTAGAGCTTTTGGGAAGAGCCTGAAGCCACATGGAGTCTCATGTGCAATGTTGTGCTTGGGCAATGTGCTTCTGCATCACCACACTCTGCCATGTTAAAGCCTAGCGGAAGCAGGGAAAAGTATCCAGAGAATGCCGATAGTGAACACAATTCATTCATTGTTACATAATATCAAAGCACTGTGCTTACACAAATTGGAATTTTTAAATATAGGAAGTGAAAGTAATAACTGAAACTTGTAAAACAAAACAAAACAGCAGCTTGACCTCATGCTTTTTTTGCCCACAGCTCTCTGCAACATTGACCATTCCCTTCTGGCAATGGTTCCTCAGTCGCTTTGGGAAAAAGACTGCAGTTTATGTTGGAAGCTTGGTAAGAACACTTTATCTTAATGCATAATAGACAAATGACTAAGTGTTTAAGTGTTTATGGAAAACAGTCTCCTGTGCATTATAGTCCTAATGTGTTTCTGCACTCTACAGTCTGTGGTTCCTTTCCTTGTCCTGGTGGCACTTGTGAAGAGCAACTTGATCATCACCTATATTGTGTCATTTGCTGCTGGAGTGTCTGTGGCAGCAGCCTTCCTTTTGCCATGGTAAGAAACAAGCTGTCATGGCACATTGGCTTATATTGCAAGAAAAAAGGTTTATAGTTCATGCTTAAACTTGCCTTGTAGAATCCTGATTGTTAGGGCTGCATCATATATTCCACATTTATTTTTGTTTACATTATTGGTAATGCAATAGCTGTCCCACATATAACTGACATGCTTTTTTTTTTTTTATAAATCAGATCAGATTTTTTTGGTTTGATAGAAGGGTATCTTAATAGAAGTGCAAGACAGGGCTGCACAATTTTCATAATTTGAAGACCAACATTAGACTTAAGTTGATGAAAACACAGTTATCGAATACTGCATTTTTTTCTCATATCCTGGAGCACTTGTACAAGAGTATAACTATGTGTCTTTTTTCTGTAGGTCTATGCTTCCTGATGTGGTAGATGATTTCCAAGTGCATAATCCCGACTCTACTGGCCACGAGGCGCTTTTTTACTCGTTCTACGTCTTCTTCACCAAGTTTGCATCCGGGGTCTCACTGGGCATCTCCACTCTCAGTTTAGAGTAAGTTATTCCACTGAAATCTTATTTAGACTGCAGAGCTGTTTCGGTGTTGACATGAATCTGAACTAGTTTAGTAGGACAGATTTAAAAAGTCAAACGTGGGTAAGACAAATCTCATCGACAGCAAATCCGGCTTCAAAAGGAAACATTCTGGGCCTTTACATGATTAAGTACACTCAGGCAGAGTACTGTATAGTGTGCTGTATCTGTGTCACATGACTGAGCTGACATTACTGCACTGACTCTTGTGGCCTGCTGGGAAAAAAGATTTTATTTGATTTTGGCATTAGTTCTACCAAGTTTGATACATATGACCATCACTCTTATCAAATCATATTTTTTTCTTTAGTTTTGCTGGCTACGTGACAAGAGGGTGCTCTCAACCGGCTGCAGTGGATTTAACCTTGAAACTCCTGGTCTCTGCTGCCCCTATTGCTCTCATTATTATTGGACTTTGCATACTGTACACTTATCCGATTGATGAGGAGAGGAGGCAAGGCAACCGCAAACTGTTGCAGGAGCAGAGGTATCAGAACCATAGCTATTTACAGTATTAATTGAGGATAATTGATGATTGTAAATATACAGTATGTTACTGGCTTGTGAATGTAAAAAATAATAAACTTCTGATGTTTTTACAGGGACAGTGAAAGTGATTCAGAAACAGACTCCACAGAACTGGCCAATATGGTGTAGCAATGTGCCGACCCTGGACTAAGTGGCTAGTTGGCTGGTTGGCTGGTATTTTGCACTGGGTTGGGACCAACATACCTGGGCCTGTTGAGTAAGACAGGTACTGCCTTGTCCAATCACAATGCTGCTGTTTGAAGTCTACAAAACTTGAGTGTCAGCCACATGAGGCCTTTTCTAAAAAACAGTTCATCTACAATCAACGCATTTTATAGCATGTTATTCATCCTCTCCTTTATGTCAGTCACACCTCAAAAGCCTTAATTTACCAGCATGCTGCTTTTGAGTGCTGTGGGAATTTCCTAAAGATTGTCTTCTGGGTGAGGAATGGCACAAAATATTGAAATGTGTTGGCAAAGGAAGGTTTTCCAATGCTGCCATTCATGGTGCTACAAATCTGAACTTGAGTTTCCATCCATTTTTAAAACCATGTTGCGCATTTGTGTCCTTTAAACTGTGCAAAAAAACTTTTTCCTCAGTTGCAGACACCAATAGACATCTGTATATACTTACCTGCAACTAAAGGACATTGTACCTAAAGACACTGGAAAAGCTGCTCTCAAATCACTGACACAGCATTTTAAAGCACATTTATGTGTGGTTTACAAAATCACATCGTTTCTTCAGAGTTTACAAATCTGTCAACTGTCCCATCTCATTCCACCTCAATGTTCTTTCTGCTACTGGTCATGTGATGGTGGAGCAGCAGACCTCACCATAAAGTTGAAACCACTACAACAGTAAAGAAAAGCTTTCTGTTTGCACAATTAGAGGCCATAACATACAGTATATACATCAGACAATTTATAGATCAAAATCTAAAGACTGGAGAAACTATTTTCTCTGCAAAACCACCCTCAGTTGTTACCATTATATGTATTTAAATATTTATTTCATCTTGAAATCCTGTTTGCCATAGTTTTGCAGTATTTAAAGTCTGTATGGTTGTTCCAGCTGAATGGTGAAAGTTTTAAAATGCTGATTGGAATAAAGGTAGCTGTAGGTGTAATTTTAAAAAAAAAACAGATTTTTTTAAATGCATGTCACTACAGCTGCTTTTGTTCAGAAGGGTATTCTAAAGGGAAATTACGTTGAAAGTTGAAGATGTGAATGTGATATAGCCTCCTGTGTTGACTTTTTTGTTGTAAATATGTTGTGAAGGAACAGAATACTTTGTGTCCTTGTCATAAAAATGACAAAAGGCATAATTCATATCCATTGATATGAAAATGTACAGTGTCATATGTTATACATACTGCTCCATCTGTAACATGTTATTTTTAATAACGGGTTGCCAGATTTCATATTTATTCCCCTTTTTGTTTATTTATAAAACAGAATTTATTCCATTCGAAGAGGGGGATACTGCACAATGAACACTGTGCCATTTCTATGTAAAGCCCTAAACGAGTTGTAGATTATGTAAATGTCCTGTTTTATCTTATCAGTGTGTTGTATTTTATGCCAGTGAACTTCCCAAATGACTGAGGCTGTAGCCAAATTTGTGATCCACAAACGCCTTGTGTACAAGCCTCCTGTGCATATGTATATATTGTATGTATACTTGTAAATATCTTTGATATTTGGTGATGTAAGTCAATTCTGTGTATTCTGTACTGTACTGTAGTTATTTAAAGAAAAAGAAAATGAAGACATTGTTAATAAACATTAATTGTACTGTGAAAACGTTTGATTGTGTTACCTTGTTCCTCTTGACCATAAACAGGGAAACCATAAATTTATAAATAACACTATTGAGTGTGATAAATGAGACGTAGTTGTCTGCCCTTGCATTGTTTCATTATTTAAGATATAAAATACGAAAAGCCAAGAGGATAATTGGCTAAAATAGCGGTAAACGCACTTTGTGGGTCTACTCTTATTTTATCAGATCCATGGTCTACTCTGTTGCTTAAAATCTGCAGGAATCTTGCTTAAATTCCGTCTCATTGAATTGTTGGTTTCTTGTTTAAATCGACAGCGACATCTAGTGACCAACATTAGTAGTAGGCTTCAACAGGCTACATTAATAGTATGTTTTATTTTGTAAAGGGTTTGCAGCGACTATTTCCGGGAAAAAATATTTCCAATTCCTGTTCACTGGACTGAATCCATTGTTTGGGTCTTTTTTATTTGTAGTTTGGCCATTACCTTCAAATGCGCGTTTTATGCGTGTTTATCAGATTAAAGTGCAAAACTTTTAGTTTTCTTTCGTGCCGTGCTACGATGGCATCTCCTCCTGTGGGACAGGGCTTCCAAAGCAAGACCAGGGTGGCCATTCTGGCGGAGCTGGACAAGGAGAAGAGGCGACTGCTGCAGGGTCAGTCTCTAAACTGTCCCGGGGCGAACACGACTCTCTCGTCGGTACCTCGGAGCGGCCTGAAGGACGCGAGGGACTCCGCAGAGCAGCAGCACATCGCAGCGCAGCAGAAGGCCGCACTGCAGCACGCACACGGACACTCCTCCGGCTTCTTCATTACGCAGGACTCAGCGTTTGGGAACCTCATCCTCCCAGTGCTTCCCCGTCTGGAGCCAGACTTGTGACTTAAGAAATGTCACAGACGTTGCATCTTGAGTTGATGATCAACTTTCCAAAGTGGTTAATTTGCTTCAGAAACTCGACTGACTGTTCAGTGACAATGTAAAAAGGGGAAACTCAAAAGTCAAATGCTTTTCTGCCCGTGTTGTCTTGTCTATTCTGTGATGTGTTTGTGAAACAGAAGTGTTTTTTGTTTTTGTTTTTTTTGGTTTACATTTGTCATGATCATGTTATTGGCCTGTAAACTAATAAGAATAAGAAGAACGTGTTCTTTGTTTGTTTTATCTTGACTAGTCTTCCCTGGTTATCTATAGGAATATTATGTAGGCTATTGACAACATATTGTAGGCCTATTAATTAACAAGGTAAATGTTATGTTGTTGGCTGGGCTAATAGTTTGGATCAGCCATAGGTAGACCATATGGAGCTAGGCTATATGAAGTAGGCTATATAGGTCTATGTGTAATGAGTGTCTGGACTGCTCCTGTGAGACAGTTAGCAGAAACTCATACATTGTTTGTGACTGGTGGCATTCAAAGAAATGCCCATTGCACACGATGGTGCAATGAAAGTTTAAGTATAGCCAAAACATGTTAAAATCCACCACTCATGATTTGTATAATTACATAATATCCATGTTGATATCCAGAATGATACAGGAGGAGGATAAAACATAATAAAATTCTTATTATAGATCGATGGGATAAGCTCCAAAGATACACAGGTGGAGTTTGGCTCTCGATTACTTGTGCCTGTAGTATCATTAGGCCTGTTGGGTCGATTGCAGAGTTGAGCCGACGCTGATGCAACACTGACACAACACTGACAGCACCGGCTCAAGCCTTCTGTTTATCACTGTGTCAAGTAAGTATTTGCATTATACAATGTTATTCTATTCGAGTAACTTATTACTGTGTCTTTACATTGAGCTCAAAACGAAGAGAGAGACATTTTCGAACTAACGTGAAGCCAAGAAGCATTAGCCACATGGTTTTGGGGCTAACGTTAGCTTAAGTGCTGAGTGTTTTTAGCTGACGCGTTCATTCATTCAGCAACGTATGACCATCAGGGCAATGGGTACTCCTTATCCAAAATTTACCAGATCTTTATCTGACATACCTAAAACTTGTTAATTTCCTAAAATGTTAATCTTTTCTGATAATGTTGTCCCATGCTGTACATTTTATTTTGTGGAGGCCATCTGACATTTGTCGCTCTTGAATATATAGACTGTAGTAGCATATTTAGTTTATCAGGTTACAATAACCTGACTCATAACCAACTCATGTATGTACAATTTTGAACGTCTTAGTTTATCAGGTTACAATAACCTGATAACTAAGACGTTCAAAATTGTACATACATGAGTACCTACTACAGTAAAATAAAACGCTATTTGTTGTAAATGTTTTCCACAAATAATGCAAAACACGCCTTTTCTTTTAACCTTGTAGGTCTACTGTAATGGCAGTCCAGTTAAATCCAGATGAGAAGTTTGATCTCATCACCAGGAACCTCCAAGTAAGATCTATTTACAATTACAGTCATGTTGTACACTTTAATTTACTGTTCAGTGTACATTTTGCAGGAGGTTCTTGGAGAAGAGAAGATAAAGCAGGTCTTACAAGAGAGGGAGCTTAGAGTGTACTGGGGCACAGCCACTACAGGCAAACCACACGTGGCATACTTTGTGCCCATGTCAAAAATTGCAGACTTTCTGAAGGCTGGCAGTGAGGTGAGTACATTTTTTTTTTTTTTGAATCTTTGTACAAGGACAGACCACAGTAACACAAATTATGTCTTCTGTTTCTAACAGGTCACAATTTTGTTTGCTGATCTGCATGCCTACCTAGACAACATGAAAGCTCCTTGGGAGCTGCTGGAACTCAGGGTGAAATATTATGAACAGGTCATTAAGGCTATGTTGGAGAGCATTGACGTTCCTCTGGAGAAACTCAAGTTTGTCAAGGGCACAGACTACCAGCTAAGCAGGTATTTTTGGCAGTTTTCTTCAAAGCAAAGCTTGTAACTAGTAAGCTTATTAAATTCATTGATGTAATTTATCAGAGAGTACACTTTGGATGTGTACCGCCTGTCTTCTATGGTCACTGAGCATGATGCCAAAAAAGCAGGAGCAGAGGTGGTCAAACAAGTGGAGCATCCTCTTCTTAGTGGTCTGCTGTATCCTGGACTCCAGGTATTTCATCACCCAATGAGAGGTTACTGCTGTTGACACAATTATTTATAATATTAAAATGCATTTAACTAGTTAATAAACATGTGCTAGAATACTTTACAAGGAAAGTTAAAGACACTTTGTGCTATCAACAGGCTTTGGATGAGGAGTACCTGAAGGTGGATGCCCAGTTCGGAGGAGTTGACCAAAGGAAGATATTTACTCTGGCAGAAAAGGTATTTTTTGTACAATGCATTTATTATTACTTATTTTGTGTCTATGTTGAATAAGTTGAACTACTTTCGTTTTGTCCAGTACTTGCCTTCTCTTGGCTATGCTAAACGTGCTCATCTAATGAATCCCATGGTGCCAGGATTGACTGGGGCAAAGATGAGCTCCTCAGAAGAGGTCAATTTTAAACCAATGCAATGTGAGAAAAACACAGTATTATAGAAGATCATTTTGTGCTCATTATTTTACTTCACAGGAGTCAAAGATTGATTTGCTGGACTCAAAAGAAGATGTGAAAAAGAAGTTAAAGAAAGCTTTCTGTGAGCCTGGAAATATCCAGAATAACGGTGTCCTCTCTTTTGTCAAGTATGTCCTGTTCCCTTTGCATGGAGGTAAGTGTCCAAGGTGTCCAAGTCTTTCTCTTTAATTTCAGAACGCCTTAATTCCACCCATGAAGTAAAATATACTTTTTTTTTTCCAGACTTCTGTGTGAAACGAGATCCTAAATGGGTGGTGACAAAGTGTATACTGTCTTTGAAGAAGTGGAAAAAGACTTTGCTGCCGAGGTAACAACTTAGTGAGATTTGAAAAAAAATCTTGTTCTTTTTCCATTTTACGGGTTTGGCATTTCTTTGTGTAAAAATCCTTAGCTGATTCATCCTGGAGATTTGAAGGCCTCTGTGGAAGTTGCACTAAACAAACTGCTGGAACCGATCAGAAAGAAGTTTGAGTCACCTGAGCTCCGCAAACTCACTAACTCTGCCTACCCAGACCTTTCAAAGAGTATGTATTTCAATCTGGGTTTATTTCCAGTTACATGGGACTTTGATGACCAAGTATGTGTTTTGTTGTTCAGAATCAGGTGGGAAGGGAGCAAAGGCTGGGGGAGGGGGAGGGGTAGAGGATGACGAATTGTCCCCATCCAGGTTGGACATACGGGTGGGAAAGGTGGTCAGTGTAGAAAAGGTAGGACTTCAATGCAATACAAAATAAAACAATTACTTTATGAGCAGTTATGAGACTATAAGATTGTTTTGTCAGCACCCAGATGCCAATTCACTCTACCTAGAGAAGATTGATGTGGGTGAGCCAGAACCAAGGACAGTGGTGAGTGGCCTTGTAGCGTACGTTACACAAGAAGACCTACAAGACCGAATGGTGTTGGTCCTATGCAATCTTAAACCACAGAAAATGCGGGGTATTGAGTCACAAGCCATGCTGTTGTGTGCATCCATGTAAGTTTCCTTTACATTATTAAACCTAATGGGTTATTTCCTGTCTTGTTAGCAAGTTTTTGTTTTGTTTTTTTATTTAGTGAAGGAGAGCCGAGGCGAGTTGAACCACTGGATCCTCCTGAGGGTTCATCACCAGGGGAAAGAGTCTATGCAGAAGGCTACGAGACAGGCAAACCAGACGACAGACTCAACCCAAAGAAGAAAGTGTGGGAGAAACTACAGGTGAGGAATTCACTAATTGATAATACTTTTTATTTTGTTACCATACATTTCTGTCATTATGCTCTGGTTGCACATACCTTATATTTCCTTTTTCACCTCAGGTTGACTTGAAGGTCTCAGACGAGTGTGTTGCCCAGTGGAAAGAGAAGCGACTAATGACCAAATTAGGACAAATCACATGTAAGACACTGAGAGGAGGCAACATCAGTTAACTCCACACACCACACCAAGTGCCTCCATCTGCTCTCTGTCTACGGAGGAAAATGTCTTTCATCTACTGCCATGACAACAATAGCAGCAGAAGTTAATCAAATTTCTTAGAGAATCTGTGGACAATGAGAACAACATTTCTGAAGAATATCTTTGTGTTACCATGCTTCATCAACACAACTTCTCAACAGCTTCTCAATTTAAATTTAAATTCTTTCACTGCTTCACTGACCAAATGAACAGTAACAAAAGGTTTGATCCACATTTGTGAGTCAATAAATGCTACATTTTAAATAAATGAATGGTCTACAAAATTAATTACAAACCTGACAGGTTTTCTTCAATATATATGTATGTATATTTTATTTAAAGTAATAACTGTACATATGTTCTTAGAATAATAATAATGTGTATTTTCCACTCATCTTCAGGGAAAAAAAAAAATGCAACTGGGGACAAGCTATATTTTATTTTTCAGCTTTTATCATTTATTAAAAAGGTATTTTTCTTTAATCTCCATCTTTTCTATACCATAGATATTATTTGCAGCAAAACCTGTTGTAGTAATTATGATATTACACATTATTAAATCCTCAGTATTAATAAACTATGGACAATTTACATTTACCAACATGTTTTGAAGATCAGGAAATGACAAACTGCTGCAATGTAAAACAAAGTGCCGCTGACTTTTTCTACCTTGTGTTTGTAACACAGATTTTAGCTGTGCTGTAAATGCACTTTAAAAAAAATATTTTTCATTAACAACTGATTTATTTTTACAAAATAATTACACAACACAAGTAATATTTCACAAAAAGGCTTTTGTCAGTGCCAGAAAGGTTTAGCTACTACTTAACTCAGCCACAAGAGGGTGACCAAAAGCAAGTTACTTATACTATTTACAGTTCCAAGTCTACCATCTCTGGCATAGGCTTTATTAGAGATAAATAAAATAGAAAAATACTCCAGAATAAAGCTGTGATAAGAAATAGAGAGGCTTGATTTTTGCATAAATATGTAAGGCCATTACAGGCTAAGGCTTTTGGAATACTTAGAATACTTGTCACGCAGCAATAACAGAGTTCATACTGTCCATATAAGTATTTGTTTGCATGTTGTCTTTGCGTGTTCTTCAGGCTCTTCAGTTTGTCACCAAAAGGTAGCTCAGAACAGTGTCTCAATTGTGTCCGCTGTCACTCTTGTAGCTGGAGGGGAAAGATGGGTGCAGGTTAGACATAATGGCATCACCATAATACAGTTACTTATGAGTGCGCTGTCCTAATTGGATTCAGCTGGTGAAACATAATCATGAGCTTTAGGTTAGGGAGGCACATGCTTACACATTCTACTAAAAACCTTTGTAAGCAGGCCTGGTTCCTATTGTATATTGTAAGATGGTCTGCACAATGTTATTGTCAAGAGAGTTCAAAATATGCTTGCTCAAGGATTTCTGACTGCTAAGCTTTTTATTCAGCCACTATGTTCAGTTATATATTATATTTGGTACTAGAAAGAACCATTATTACTACTACACATTACTATTATTATTATTATTATTATTGGTAAAAAGGCAATATATTTTTGAATATGACATAATATTGCATTATCATCACTAGTCATAATTTGTCGATGGCTGTAATAAGAAGGAACGTTTTCCAAGTCACTGTGAATCACAGTATAACTAATACACCAAACTTGTATAAATTGTAAGATTTGAAAAGAAAGTAACCATAGGGTAGACATTTAAAACTACTATTCTCTAAGGGGAAAATTGCTTACTTTTTGTCTCAAGTGGAGCAATTTGATGCCTAATGCCAACATTTCCTGGAAGCGTCTGCAAGGGCCCCACACTGTCATAGCTTGGTTTCCTGGCCACTGGTGGAGGAACAGATTTGATTCCACCGTTGGAGTAGGCATTGCTCTTGGACTGTTCTGACAAATGCACAAGTTCTGCTGCCAAGTTCTGCTTCAGGGTTATTTGTGCTTCAGGAGATGGCCCCGCAGTTTCAATGACCACCTTTTTGTGACTCCGCGAGAAGATAAAGCTGGCTGTGGAAGCTGTGGACTTGTGCATGTCACTTCCTGCTTCACCTATAGAGCTGTAAGGAGGTAACCTTGCAACCGGTCTGGCTAGAAGACTTTCCTTTGTGGACATTGCTGCAGTTTTCATGCGTATAGCTTCTTGCAGTCGCAGAGAAGGTTGAACCGCTGTTGAAGAAGGTAATGGGGATGAGGATTTAGTGGATAGTGACTTGCGAATTGGCTTTTGTGGTATGTTTTGTGGAGTTTGGATAGCCACAGGACAGCTTTCTTGTGCTAAAGGTTCTACATTTGCTGTTTTCTCCTCAGAGGGGGCATTGCCTTCTCCTTCCACCATGCTGACCGACCTAAGCCGTACCATTTGAAGTAAAGGATGGAGTGACAAGAGGTATGTTGGCATCCTCTTTCGGAATGGGCATGCTTTTGTGGCGGGCATGGAACTCTTTGGCTCTATTTGCTGTACTGGGCTGTCTTCTGAAATTCACAGATGAGGGTGGGTTCTCTATGGTTTGGGGTGGGATAACATGGAAGGGATCTTCAGCTTTCAGAGAGTCTCGACTTGAAGAAGTTGATAATGAAGATGCTGAGTTATTTATTGTACTAGCAGATACTAAAATGTCAGAATGCGTGTCTTTTTTAAGAGCCATATCTTGACCCAAAACAGGTATTGAGGGGGACTCTTGTTTTGGCTCCTGCATTCCATTCTTGATTAAATTTGTCAAGTCATTTTTATCTGCTTTATCCGGCATGTCTATGGGGTTATCCATTAGCAGAGGAGGAGGTGGTGGAAGGGGGAAGTCCGTCTCATCCCCTCCCTCAAAAGCTTCTTCCAGTGGTGGAGGAGGAGGAGGCCAAGATGATTCAGGAACTTTGCTCTCCTCTTGTACCTTCTGAAATTCAACAGAAAGGTGGGTCGAATTTGATGACGGTGGTTTCCTGGTAAGTGGGGGTGTTGGGTGGTAGCTGGGTGGAGGAGTGACAGGGGGCGTGTCTTTTGGAAATTTAGGCACTTCTATTGCAAGTGTGTCAGTTGGTGGATGTCCATTTTCTTTTAAGTTAGTATGGTTATCTGCATTGCAACTTTTTCTGGTCTTTAGTTCTTCTGTTGAAAGCTGTTCTTCTGTTATTGTCACTGTTACAACTGGAAGATCGATAAGTTGTTTTTCAGTTTGCTCATTTGTCACTTCTCCAGCGGCATCCTGAATGATCAGATTTTCTTTATCCACTTCCATCTTACTTTGATCTTCTACGCCATGTTCCTTCTCCACTGATAGTTCCACCTCATCTTTCCCACCGTTCTCTTCCACTGGCAGCTCATTTTCTTCAGTTTGTGTCCCTGCCTGCTTCACTGTCCCATCTAGAGACTGTGACAGCTCAACATTCCCATACAATCCCAAAAGAAGTTCCACAGTGTGTCTATTGTGAGCCCAAACTTCTGGAGGAGGAGGACATGGTGCTCGGATTTTGGGATGTGGCGGTATGTTCATAAGACTTTTGATTTCCATTGTAAGTGCGGATGAGATGGTATGGGCAGCTGTGGAGTCCTTTGAAGGAACATCATGACTGATAGTTTCAGATGCACCAGATGACAGCGAGGTGAGAGAGGAGGAAGGAGATCCCGCAGAGGTTGATGCACGGGATACAGACCTCTCTGGTTTAATTGGCAACTTTTTTTGTTTTTCTGGGGAGGTTGGGGAGAACTCTTTTGGGGACAGTGTTGGAGTGCCGCTTTGACTGGAGTAACCACTGGATGGCGAGATTGTGCGTTCCATTTTGTCTCTATTCAAAAAAGAGGGGTCCGACTTGGGATGTGTTCCTCCATTCTCTATGACAGAATTGGGTGTGGATAATGTAACTGTTGTTCTGCTGGCCTCAGTTGTAGTCATTGTAGCATCATTCTCTACTACAGTTTCCTGGCAGTTAACCAAAACCTTTGCATTATTTCTGATCTTATTACTATGCAGGGAGTTTGTTCTTCGTGGCGGTTCCGGTGGTTGCTTTGTTTTTGTAACTGACAAACTTCTCCTTTTAATTTTTTTCTCCTCAACTTGTGACATGGTCACTTCAGAAACATCTGCAACCAAATGTTCACTTGTACTTGTAGGACAGCTAATTATACTAACAGAGCTATGGATGCTAACGATATCTTCACCATGGTCCCGCTGGTTCCTTTGCTCACTCACACTCAGTCTTTGTGAATCTGCGCTGCATGTGCTCCTTTTGGAAGAAGCAGGGGAGGAGATCAAAACAATGGTCTTTGAAGAATGGGACACACTCAGATTTAATGCTGAAGTTGAGTCAGATGTGGAATTGTTCAGAGTAGTGTCATTTTGGGAACTGTCCATGTCTGATCTTCTGGACAACACGGGGCTAACGGGTGAGTCCCCTGATCCCAGACTGCTTTTGCTCACAGTGTGAACGCTGTTGCCTCGAGTGCGGCTCAAACTGTGGTCGATCTCTATGACGTCCACAGAGGCGGGCAGCACAGCGTTGGGGATTATCGTGGACATGTAGGTGGCCTGAGGAGATATGGACATCACTGGACCCTGGACACATCAAGAAAAGTCACAGTTAATGAGTGCTAATGTAAGATTAACATCAAATTAAGTGTAAGCGTATTTTAATTTGATTTAATGTATTTGTTGTTTAATTCTGCTAGACTCTACAAAGGTAAAAAAGACTCAGTGATTAGAAAAATATTCAGTGTGTCTTTGGTTGTATTATTTAAACATCAAAACCAATGGCCATATTAACATTGTTTCTATTGATTTGAATTGTATTAACCAGAAGCATCAGCCAGAACTAAAATAGAATTTTCAACAAATGCAATCCTTCCCATTATGATTAGTTTAATGCAATTAAATTATATGGAATTGTACATTAGAATACAGATGATATTATTGATTGCATATTTTTATTCTCCCGCTGTTCTTGAACTTTGCGTTGCAACACTAAAATTTCCCCATTGCAGAACAAATAAAGGTCATCTTATCTCATCTTATTTTATCTAAAGATATCCAAATGTAACATGCATATTCATAGCTGCTGTGAGTTGTGCTAACCTGCGGCTCCTGTAGAAAGCTGAGCATTGTGGCTGGAGAAGAGAGTGAGGATGTCATCCCAGGAACTGCGACAGATTTGGGTCTCAGCATGGAGGTGGGGCCCGTGTGATGTCCAAAACCCTGGAAGCTAAAGTGCTGCTCATCTTGGTACATTGCCTGGAGATGGTTTTGCAATAGCATCTCCTCTTGAGAAACCTGCTTTGAATACAACAAATCAGTATAGAGATTTACAATACATAAGTGATTTATTCAGTATTATAGTTTACCTCCAGCTCAGAAAGGTGTACTCTTGCACCTCCTTTGTTTGCAATTGGGGTCCCTCCATCAACAGTAGGGATGATAACTACTCCTGATTGACTATTACTTGTATTGTTATTTTCAGGAAGCTGTTGAAACGTTGAATGTCGACGTAAGGCTGTACAAGAATATATTTTTAAATTATTTCAAAATAGATCTATGCTAACATTTATGAGCAGACTGTGGTCAGTTTAGCATACCAAGCTCTTTTTGGACCTGGTTGGGAATGCCCATGATGGTTGTCCGCCTGCTCCTCTTCTTGTTTCGGTCTATGCTTTTCACTGGGTTCAAAGGCTTAAATGTGGAACCTAAGGTATAATTTTACAATTACATTCCACACAAATGCTTGGTTTGACTTTTATATAAAGTTGAATCAAGACAAGTAACTTTCATATGCTACATTGAATACAAATGGGAGTTAGTGCATGCAAGTCTGTGGTTGCTCCCTCACTTTCACAGAGCAGCATACTCCACTTTATAGTGATATGCAGACAGCCGCAGTGCCTCTAATAAAAGTATATAAAAAAAAGAAGTTCTGCCTGTCTATATTAAGAGTAGGGGGAGAGAGTGTGTATGTGCCTTCTGGTTTGATTTCACACCAGAACTGTGGAAGCACCTAGCAGCTGCAGAGAGACTCAGTGAATGCTAAGTGCATGCCAAGGACTGATAATGCTCTAAAACAACAAATATGTTTCAAATAGGTCTAGGCTTTTTGATTTGTTGCCAGTGTTTTCTCCAAGACAGACATGACCCAAGTATGTCACTCTAGGCCGAAATGGTTTATGTGCTGTGCTTTGTGTTTATCCCAGCAAACTATATGGGGCTAAAGCATAATTCAGCCATAGATATTCTCATCTATGGGATTGATAATGGATTGTAAGATAAGATACTATTTGTGTAATTCCATTGTCAGTGGTTGAGCACATGTGCTCCCTGTACTAAAACAAATAGAGGCATTGAATAAGCTTACCTTGGCGGGTGAGCCCAGGTCTTGTTGACCCAGCAGAGTAGACACTGGTATCAGTATTCCCTGAGGGGGATCTGAACTCCGAACAGCCATCTTCGTCCTTGGAGCTGATATCCTGCTCCTGCTGCACAGTGTTGGTGGACTGCACACAGTGATGCATCAGACGTGTGCTTTGTGTGTGTGAAGGGCAGTGGAAAGAATCAGAAATGATAGAAATACTTACATCAATGCTCTCATCATCAGGAAAGGACACTCCATTTTTGTGCTCTGTGGACAAAACACAGGAAAATGTTTAATCTATCTATCTAACAAAACTAGATCAGGAAATGGCATAATATAGGGCCTTTAATAAACTATTTGTTCATTATAAATCTTTTTTTACACTAATTAAGGTGTAGCTATTAAAGTATTACCAAAATGAATCAACTGTCCAGCACTATAATGCATTCACAAGTGCCTAATAGAAGTGTTCTTTATAATATATAATACTGCAGTAAGTCATATATTCCAATATTCTAACCTTTCTGCAATATTTTGAGTCCCTCCTGAGCCTCAGTGTGCAGGTCCTCCAGGTATTGTGGTCTGCTGCCTTCAATGAACACATTTTCCTGGTAATGCTGAGAGGCTGTGTAATGCACCGACAACCTCTTCTGCTCCTCTGTCCCCTTTGGCCCAGCTGTGGAGAATGAAAAAAACCAACTATTTATTCACAGGTAATAACACAAAACAATCGAGTAACTAGTTAAACTTCATAAGTGTCCTCAAATGTAAACATAGTGGACAGGTGTTTCAGTCCTAAAGCTTTGATCAGCTTGGAGTGAGGCCCTTGGTGCAAGAGTGTTTATTCTAATTCACTTGGTACACTCAACCAATCTCTCCAGGGCAGTTTAGTTGGGCACTCGTCCAGTTTAGTCAGGTGCACAATGCAAAACCTATGGCTAGTCTGCGGGGGGTTGGATAATCTCATTGACCACATGTGAAGATATTTTTGGTGAGTTTAGTTTCCCACATGAGAACTACAGAGAGTTCCCCTATAAAAATCATTATTTTAAAAGTGGGCTACAGATACTGCAATGACCAGAGGAAGAGCCTTTCTTGATGTTTAAGTGGATCTAGCTAATCAAAGAGCAGCCTTGAGGTGTCCATTTTCCCTCCTTTGTTGGTTATAACACAGTGGCTTTGACTAGCACCTGGTTAGGTAATCTTGTGCATGAGTGAATAGTGCACAGTAGATGCATGGGTCTTCAGCAGGTGTTCAAATATCCTGCCCCTGTCAGCGACAAGGTTGTCTTCACTTTCATATAAGTTTAACTGTCCAGCTCATCAAGAATATGGAAATGTGTATTCTAAGGTTTATACATGAGCCACTATCCATCATGGTTTTATTACCATTTATTATGCTAAGACAACAATTACCAGGCAAATTATTTATGTGAAAATTGGGGTTGTCCCTTACCATTTGAAGTCATAACATGTCATTTGTACCATAAACATATCCCTGGTGTGAATAAAAGCATTGAATTTCCAAGTTGTTGTTTTGTTTGTTTGTTTGTTTGTTTTTTTCTTGTAAATCAATCTAACCTATCTTAACTTTTCTTAACTTCAGTCAAATGTTACCCGCATAAAAAGCTCCAAGATCACTGTGGGAGGTTACGGGCTTTAGCTTCATTAAGACAATCGTCAAAAAAGTCTGTTAAGCTCTTTATCTCATTAGCAGGGTAATGTGCAAATTGGACATGAATTGTATACAAGATGGAACACAGACCAAAATTAGTAACAATGAACAGTTCAAAATAGCCAAATATTATGATTAAAAGGTACACATTATTCCCAAAGCAAAGCAGCACTCACCCTTCTTTTTGAAGACAGACAGCAGAGAGTGGATGCTTTTCCTCAAGTATACCACCATGCCTAAACAACATGACAAGTACCAAACTCGCAGCGAAGAGCATGTACGTCCCCCTTGTGTGACTCAGATGAAATATGAAGTGTAATGCTATGCACAGGAGTGTTGCTCTGTAGCCTCTTTAAGGTATGGAGTGAGTGACTTGATATGAGACAAGTGCACAATGAGATCTGCCTCCAGCCCGCTGGCCTGTCCCAGCTGCTTTATCCCTAGGTCTGATACTCTGGTCCCTCCCCCCTCTCTGTCTATATCGCCCTGTTGCTTCTCAGTCTTCATTGGGATTCTTTGCATGGAAAATCCTTCGCCCTATTGTCGATTGCTGAACCCCCCTCGTGCAAAACGGCTGTCAGAGTTTGCCTTTCAAGAACAACCAACCCCCCCTACCTCCACAGCACTTCAGACACGTGTGTGATCATGCCTATACAACAGCATGGTGAATGTTAAATTCAGCTATAAAAAATATGGTTTTAAATTCACAACATGAAATTATATCTTTGCCAAAAATGAAATGGTTATTATATTATATTAACAACATTTGAATATGTTCAGATGACAAAGATATAAAAAACACATGTCTAAGAGTAAACAGATCAACATAGCAATAATGTCCTTGTCCTTTGTCAAATGTGGAGCCCTTCAGCATCTGTCAAACTAATTATTTATGGCGTATGGGGGTTGCATCAGAGGTTGTGTGCTTAAAATCTTAATGTCATTTGCCAAATCTATCGTATTATATTATATCTCTCAGTTACCTCTTTCCGACAAATGTTGCCTCTGTATCCATCATTGCTTTCTAGAAGTTTGAGTTATAAATAGCTAACAGCGTGCCTTCATAGCATCTCTTATAGTGCTGTGCTTGGCTTTATCTCAGTCTACTAATGTTTCCTAAAGTACAGAGGCCATGAAATCCAACACGCACCAAGACAAGTGAATAGCTGATTCCATGGTCGAAAATGAAAAACAATGCAGCGTTTAGATCCACTTGCACTGTGAATGGCTGGCTGTTTCCAATGACACGGGACAGCAGGGGGCTACAGCTGCAACCATACGCTTGGTCCAGCTGGAGGGACACGCGGCCATTACAATTACCTCCATTAACCCAACATGAACAAACTTGCTCTTGGTTAGTTATACCTTGATATTATTTAAAGAAAACCATTTGCGTGAGTGAGCCATTCAGAGCAGACCTGTTATGTTATGACCTATGTTATCTTAGCCCTATCATGCAATGCTCACAAAGGTTATGATGTCCAGAATAAAACTTAATAAATAGATTCTCTAGTTTAGGGTAGATTGATGGAAGCAAGGCTGCTAATCTGCAGAATCTGTCCCTCCAAAAAAATAGGAGTAATTATTTCATTGATCTAAAAAGTCAGATTACAAAAAAGTCAGATTATAAATTTAAATATATAGAGCTGGAATAAAAATATACATCCTTTCTTACTATGGAAGTTAAATGTAACAATTATGTTCATGCAATAGCCAATAAAACCAACAAATGTACAATAGAAGATGGCAAAATGACAGAAGCTTGGAATCTGTCTGATAAGAAAACCACTTGTTGAGACAGACACATGCAGTGTTTTGTCTAGCTCAGAGGATGAAGAGCTTATCCTTGGCCTTTTCACAGACTGTAAACACAGAAGAATAAATGAGCTCCTATATTTGTGGTACAGGCAGTTTTCTATTCAGATCTTAATTTTGTTGTCACTGTTACATGCAGGCTATCTCTTTACTGAATCAAACTGGATCAGTGGAATGCAAATTGTACCCTCTGTACAAAACGGCACTGTGTGACTAATATGGAGGGTGACATTATTATTATTTAAATTGGGCTGTGATAAATTGCAGCCTTTCAAGTGAGCAGTTAGCATGGTTAGATAGGTCTTGGCTGATGTCTGTTTTTGACTATACCAGCTTTAACCTATTTGCAAATTATGACAAAGAAGGAGCACTGCCTTAATTTTAAGATGTCCCTTTTGCATGTTGTCTTATATCACAAATAAGAGATAATATGTTATTCTGTTACTAACTGTTACTACTATACCAGTACTACAATACTACTACTCCTGTACTACTACTACTATACTGCAACCATGCTAAAAAATAATTTGATATAGAAAGCAATAGGAAACTGTGTTGTTTTCTTGAAGACACAAACAAATAATTTTTCATCAATTCCTTTCATGCCCCAAGTTCTCAATGCACACGTATACTATGCACACACCTGCTTGTCTGGCCTGGCTGTTGTTAACCAAGACCCCATGTATCAATATTCATTAGAAGGTCTAAAGAGACACCATCTGTCGTGGGGGTAGATGGGAGCATAGCCGGACATAGCTTTGATTCAATACCAAGCAACGCACCATTCCTTCACATAAGAAAAAACCACAACAAGGAATTCACGTCACAAACTAGGTCAAAATGTTGTGCTTGATTTTAAGTGTTGTTAGTTATAAGTTAAGCTTATGATTTATTGTTATGCCTTTGTGTTCTTGGCCATAAGTCAGTGGTCTTGTTTGAGCTTTTGTTAAAGTGCCAAAGACCACAAAAGCCCCACTTCATTGAAACATGGTCAAAGTGAAGCTGAATTGTTATATGTGGTTAATGTTGCTTTTAACAAGTAAAGGTTTTTCCCTGTCCATATTTAAAATCCAGCCAAAAGGGGCCAGCAAGGAACCAATATTAGCACAATCTTAGCTTTTTATCCAGATGTTGATAGTCATTTCCATATTTAACATACTGAAATCATCATCTATTACATAAGGAGAATACTGATGCTACCTATTACATCATCCACATAATTCAACACCAATAGCAGCTGATTCTTCCCGTTCGCTCAAACACACCCATGTATTAGCTCACTTCTCTGGAAAACACTCTCATCCCTGACTCTGCATGCATGAGACTGCAAAACAGCTGTCAATGAGGACAGTTACTGTAGATGCACAAAAATCATGTCTCCCTCTGGACTGACCAATCCCTTGCACTGACAAACAAAATGCACTCACTTATTGGAAAATGTAATGGCACATGTTGACCAGCATTATCTCATCTTGTGGCCTCAGCTCACCCTCCCAACCGCTGCTTTGTCGACAGAGAAGCTGAGGGGCAGATGAGAGAGTGATGGACTGCTTTTTTTATAAGCACAGAGTCAGTATCAGGTGAACATGGAGGTCGAGTCAGGGTAGTGTGGGTTTAAGCTTTGAGGCTATGTCATAATAAGTGACTTGCACTATTGGCTTGACAATCAAAACTGGTAGTGTAATTGTCTTAAAAATGTTATTGTCTTAAAGAACACATATTGTTTCCTCATCAAAAACATACCAGGTGTTGTGTTTTGTTTCATTCACACATGTTTAACACACAAACCCTGCATATTTGGCCAAAGTTGTTGTTCCCTTAAACAGAAAACACACTGTTCCTTGACCTTGTAATGTCATATACAGGAAGTGCTCCACACACTTTCACTAGAATCATTTGGATAACTTCCGCCATGGAATTTCCAGTCTCTACTGAACTAATGGTAAAAGTTAACTGTTAACTTGAAAACTACCATTTGATGACATCACAGGGTGGAACAGAGCATTGTGAGCTTTGGGTATGTACAGAGTAATAATAAAGGGTTACTCAAACACATGTTAATAAACAAAACACAACTTTGGGTATGTTTTTGAGGTATTTGACCCATTTTATCAAAAAAGCCCAGCCGCTTCTATTCTTTGTATGAATGTGTAATGTGCATAGCAAAACATTTTACAAACAAACTG